CTTCTGCGAGGATATGGTTTTCCTCTATCCAGATTTCAATTCTATTTAAAAGGAACCTAGCATATTTTTTTGCTGCAATGTCAATCAGACTGATGGGCCTATAATTACTAGGATTCTTTTTATTTTCTTTTTTATATATGGTGACAACTATTGTCATCTTCCACCCATCTGGTATATGGCAGGTGTTATTTATATGTGTAAAAAGACCTGCCAGTACTGGTCCCTACCAATTGGGAAATTTCTTAAATTTCTTAAGCACTGCCTAAAACTGATTGGTTCTACGCAAGGACTGTCATCAGCTTTTCATCCATCTATGAATGAAGTGGCTGAAAAAGCAAATGCAATGATGGAGCAATATCTTAGATTCTATGTGGATTACCAGCAGACAAATTGGACTGGTCTCCTCCCTTTCGCTGAAGTGGTTTATAACAATACTGTACACAATAGCACCGGACTTAGGCCATTTAAGATAGCCACTGGAAGTGATTTTATTCCGATGCCTGAATACTCCCAGGAACCCCTTACTTCTCAAACATTGGATCAGTGGGTGTTTGGGACAATACAAAAAAAGTTTTGACAAAAGCCTCAGAGGTTTACAAAAAGCAAACTGATAAGAAAAGAGTGCCTCAGAGGTCATTCTGCGTGGGGGGGGGGTTATCTTTCTACAAAGTATCTCAGACTTAAGTTACCTAGCAAAAATGTGGGACTGAAATACCTGGGACCATTTCCCATAGTGCAGATTTTAAACCCAGTTACTATAGAATTAAAACTCCCTTATGTTTTAGGAAAGATCCACCCTGTATTTCACTGCAATCTGTTAAAGTCTTTTAGAGAGTCAACTCTGAGACCCTCTCCCAAGAAAGCAGCTGGCCCACTTATGGTGGCTGGAGAGACTCATTATGAAGTAAAGTGTATTCTTGGTGCTAGATTATACAAGTGAAAATTGCAATATTTAGTGCAATGGAAGGGATATCCATTGTCAGAAGTCACCTGGGTGAAAAGTACTGATGTGAAAGCTGACAGATTGATATGCAAATTCTATGATAAACATCCAAGTAAACTGAGAGGGGATTCTTAACTGCTATTCTTGTTTGGTTTGCAGGATTTCTCCTTTCTTTTAAGGGAAGCCGAATGTCAACACTGTGACAAACTGAACTGAAGCCATTTTCATTTTGTCTTCGTTGCCACATATTTAGTTAGAAGAAGGGGGGGGGTGTAGTTTTCAGTTAGCGAAAACAATTCACATGTATGGGAATCAAGGTCATTGCTGATAACATTTTGGCAGGCTGGAGCAACTGGGAGGAGTACCTGTGTTTTCTAACAATTGGTGAATGTGATTTATGACAGCAATTTGGGGTGGGAAATGAAACTTGCAACTTTGTAACCAAGGGAAGGGGGATTTAGTCTTGGGTTCACCCATGTATGTGCCGTTATTTGTAGCCAAATAAAAAATGTTCTTTAAGGAAGAAATGCTTGCCTTGAAGTTATTTTAAATGGTCTCATCTATCGGAACCATACACCCTTCTTATGTGCAACATCACAGCTTGTATATGAACAGAAGGATTCCTCTGGGCAAGCCTCAAGGCTGCCTTCAATTTCTTTTTCAACCGCTGGCATTCAGGATCAAACCAACAAGGTCTACCCACTCGAGCTCTTTTTGTAGCAGGTTTAATTGATAGGTGTTTCTTCAGGATATTACAGAGATTAGAGAATGTGCTGAAGGCTGACAGCCAGTCAGTAGTAGATGACTGGATTGTTGTAGTCCAGTTGGTAGCATTCTGTACTTTAAGGCAGTCTGATATTGCCTTAGTATCAACTTTGGCCCAAATTAATCTTTTATTTTGGGTCACCTCTACCTTTTGGGTGAGCCATCTGTCAGCCATGTTATATGGTCTTAAATCTCAGCAGCCTCACAATGTCACGCTTACAGGCTGATGATCACTATTGTCGCTAAAGTGTAACCTCCGAGGTCAACTTTATCTCTACACACAAAAGAGATCCAGTACACTGTTTGAATGGACCGAGTGGTATGTGTAAGGATATGTGTAATTCTTATCCTTACCTCCCAGAATTTGGAGATTACCCTTAAAGATTAAGGAGACTAGGAACAGGCCAGCAGCATTACTTTTGCGGTCTCTCGATGGTTATCAAAAAACTCCCCTGGGACTCCCTTCTTCTGGGCAAACTCATACAAAGAGGGACCCAACCTAGAGTTAAAATCTCCTAGTAATACCACTATGGACTGAGGGTACAATACAGATATATCATATAGGATAACTTCCAGACCCATCCAGTATTCGGAGTTATAATACCGGGATGTGATTGGAGGGATATACACATTTACCAGTATTAACTCAAACTCTTTATATCCAAATTTAACTGCCAGGAAATATGAATACTTGTCTTCATTGTACAGTTTCTCCCCCTGCAATTGTAATTCTTGCTTTGTAAGAATGCATAACCCACCAGAGGATCTCCCTTTGTTTTTTGTTTTTTGGGCTGGAGAAGCTCATCCCTAAAAGCCTGTCAGTTGTACTGGTTCATCCACTTCAATTAACAGATTTCCTGAAAGGCTATTACATCAGATCTAGAGAAAAAGTTCATTAGTCCACTATCAACCATCCCTTTCCAACCTGCCACATTCCAAGTCTGTATGGGATTCCCAAGGGCAAGGTGGTCTGGCTTGGTTGATTGGCTAGGTAGTAAGAATGCTGAATGTCAACTTCACATTGGAGCTGGGTCGATATTAGCTATGCTTCCCATATAAAGTTATTGTGAGGTTTGATATTTCTCCTCATGAGTTGCAGAACTTGTTGTTGCTCCTCTTTATCTTGATTGCCAGTGTGCCTCTGCTTTTGCTCTAAGATTGACATTTCTTCAGGTGGGTGGGTGCTCCGGCTTTCCCTCTCTTTGTCTAGTTGTCCTGAATGTACTGAATGGTCAATTTGGACTTGTACTACCAAGTCCTGTTGGATGTCCCTTTCTTCCTTTTTTTATTTTGGGCTGGTATGCCTTCTCTTTTTATTTATTGGGGCTTGAGTACTTTCAGAAGCCAGGCTTGATAGCAATTCCATGGAGGAGCTGCCAGTAGGAATCAAAACATTCAAACTTTCTGTTTCACCAGCTGCCAACCTCAATGTTTGACCAATTATTTCAATCTTCTCCAGTATCATCTCTTGGTCTCCTGGGCAAAGGGTGGCAAACTGGTGGACTAGCTGTTCCTCGTCATCCATGAACTGAAGCTTTCCATTGCGTAGGTTTAAATATTATTTTTATTGTTCTTACCTTTTCCTAACCTTGTTAAATGAGACTTGTTTGTTTGGCCGTTAGTATTTTGGAGTTCCCAAGAATGTCAACCTCCCTCACTGTCTTGGCTCTCTGCACAGACTTTAATAGGGACTGAATTTGGGTGGTGTGAAATACTTGTCTTGGCCAAATACAGAGTTTCTTTAATGAGGTCTCAAGCCTGAATAACATTGATGGCAGAATAATCTGCCCAAATGTTAGCAATATTCTTTTGCAACCTTGTCTGTCGGGGAGCCAAGAAATCTCTATTAGCTCGTTAGAATATACCCTACAGCGTAAGAGTTGGGATAAAGAGATCAAAACCACTCTCCTGTTATGCCACCTGCCCCTGTTCAGAGGGGTGTTAGCAACTTGGAGTAAGATCCTGTGTCTCTGCAAGACCAGCCTCTTACCGCATCCTCTTCACCCTGAGACCCCCAGTCCACACAGGCTGGCTGAACATAATGAGTAAGCTTTGGAATGTGAGCTTTGCTATTCTTCAGCTAGCTTTTTGATGTGTTTTCTCATTAGAGACTTTAGTTCTTTAATCCCTCCATTTGCTTCCAGGAGCTGGTCAAATATAGCAGAGACTGTTTGTACTGTTAGCAGACAATTTTTAGGAACAACTCCAAGTCTCCTTTAGAATTGTTCCTATTATTATTCTTATTCTCCCCTCCAATTCCTACTGGAATTGTAACTCCTTCCTCCACAGAGAAGCAGTTGTCCTCTTCCCAATCCAGAAGGGGGCTAGGTTTGTTTGCTGGGGCCGCAAGGGGGGAAAGAAAAGAAAAAAGGAGACTTACTTGCAGTGTCCATTATCTGAAAAAAGTCTTTTATCTTGGGTTGTCTGGGCATTGTCACAGCCATGTTTCCAATTTGATATAAGTAGGAGATTAATGCAGTTTTTCAGCATCTATTTCTGTGGTCCAGTTTCTTTGAGAGGCAGCCCAGTTTCTAGTCTTTCTGGGAGCTGTAGTCCATACAGATTGCTGATTTGTATTTTATCATGAAAACTTAATTAAATTATATTAAAGGCTGCATTTCAGCCTCTCCATGCTGTATAACATAATTCTCCCTCCTGCGATAGCGCTGGTTATAGATCATTAAATAATCATTTTTATCATCATCTGGATCAACAGGGTAGCCAAAAATATGCTTTCAAGAACATATATTGCTTTTTACATTGCCTTTACTGGTCTGCTTAATATCTTTTGGGAAACTGCTTCTCTGAAAACTTCTAAAACCTGATATCTTAGTGGCAAGCAGTAGTGAGGAATAATGTAGGATGATGGTGTTTCATCACAAAATGAAGAATAGGGAATAATTTTTAATCTGTTCTTGTGATGGAATATAGTCTGGATTCTCAGGAGGGAGGGAGAACATTCCAGAGGAGCAAAAGAAAGCACAATTTAGATAGTTTGTGTGATAGACAGAGTTAAGACAGCTCCTCCCCTGAGTACAAGTTTTATAGTGCAAATAGTTTGCTTTAGTTTGGCAAGATTCCCTTCTATAGGTGGGGAACAATAAGAGAAACTGCTTAGAAGTTTCAATGTGTCTTTCTTGGTTTTTACAGCCTGATAGTTTTCTGTCCGAAACCTCCTTTTAAAAACCTACTTCCCCCCCCCTCTAAGTTATAGCTAACAAATTTTTTCAGCAGAAGAAAGACCATACATATTCAATGTCACAATGTTCTATATTTTGTACAGTGACTCATTATTATAGCTCTTACAGATCTCAATGTCCAAAGATTATTTTTCCTGTTAATTCTATTTTGTGTTCCTTTCTGACTATGAGAAAGAAAATAAAATATGGAAATCTTTTGAACTTAAATATGAACAAAACATCAAAGCTGCTTTTTCTCTTAAGAACATAAGAAAATTGTATAGTGCTCTGTAAAAATGATGTAAGTTGTTGAATGTGTTGAATGAAAAATCTTCATCAGGGTCCAGTCCAAGCCTGGAATAAACACAATGGAGACTGCTTTAGAAAGAAGGTTATAGTTTATTGAAGAGCAAAGCCAGACAGACGCCTGGGTCTAGGCCTGTGGTGGCGAACCTATAGCACACGTACCACAGGTGGCACACAGAGCCCTCTCTGTGGGCATGTGTGCCGTTGCCCCAGTCCTAGGCCTTCAGCTGGGTTTTATAAAATCTTTTCGTTTTAGGTCTCTGTCGCCATGTGCAAAAAAAAAAAAGGTTCAATCAATCAATCAATTTAAACTTCTCGCAGGAAAAAAAAGATCTTGCAAAGTTGGAATTGATTGATTGAATTTTTAGTCCCACCCAGTCTGCCGTTACACCGCAGCGACACCCACCCAATGGGCCACGCCCACCCAGCACCCGACGATACATAAGTGGGTTTTGGGTTGCAGTTTGGGCACTTGGTCTCTAAAAGGTTTGCCATCAGTGGTCTAGGCAATATGCTATCTCTGTAAACCACTTAGAGAGTGCTATAAGTCTTATAAAACTAAGACATAGCATTCTGTCATGGTCCCCCCAAAATGCATAATGATGTACACAACTTATCACTGTGCATATGTTGGAGATACCCAATATTTTTGTTCAATGGCAAAGTTTGGAATGTTGAGTGCATATGTATGCTACTACTGCCATGGTGACAGTTTTGCTCATGGTGATATAACCAATTGCAATAAAAAAGTCAAGTCAAGAATGGAGCTGGAAGGCCACCAACCAAGAGGTTTTTGGGTGCAGTTAAACCCACAAGAACCATGTTGGGATCCCCAGGCCTGAGTCAATAATAGGCAATCAAAGATTGGTTAATCGGTTACTTTAATAGTCTCCAAGAATGTCCTTAAGAGACAGAAGGAAAAAAGGAGCAGTAGCAGACTAGGAAATGGTCAGAAAGAGGCAGTTTAGGCCAAGACACAATGGGAGCATAGCAAACATCTCAGAGAGGACCCTCCTTCGTTGGACTGTAAAGATGAGGGGGGAGAGATGTACTTTCAGATTTGTAAGATTTTGTTATTGTAACTTCACAATAAAAGTAGTGTTAGTACAAGATTAATGCTTCTTGTATTGCCTCTAGGGATGACATTAATCTAGCAAGTATGAAAATAAATCTCTCTCCCCTCCCCGTTATCTTTACAGTCCAAGAAACTAGGGAGGGTTCTTTCTGAGACATTTGCCATGCCTCCATTCCTTCTGTGGGCTCAGATGCCTATTATCTGATTGTTGCCCTTTTTCTCCTCTTTATCCTGTCTCTCAAGGATATTCTCACAGACCATTACAATCATCTTTTTGTTTTGGAAGCTTAAAAAAGACCATGACATATTTTTTTAAAAGCAAAAAGTACAGAGGAATGCTTGAAAGAATCAGAGTAATATATTGAGGCTTAAACATTTCTGGAGTTTTAACAGTTTTGTTGTCCTCAGTTTGGGTCTGAACCTGGTGCTAAGACCAAGAACACCAGACACGAGGTACAGGTTTTGTTGTCTATTATTGAAGTGCTCCAAGAAAAGGGATCCTGGCCAAAATGCCAAGGAACCCCGAACCACAGAATTAATAAAGCTTTATATGTTTTCTCTAAAGCAGAAGGCGGGATAAGGTGAGATATATATGAAATATCATCTAATAAACATTTCAATAATAATCTAACAATTATTCTATTTGTCTCTAACCATCCTATTCCTAAGCCTTGGCTAATGAATGCTTCAGGAATTATCTAATACACATCCTATTTGCTACAGGATATCCCTATTCCTAACTTTTAGCTGAACTTGCAAGATGCCTAAGTCTTCTGTTACTTTTATCAGCTTTTTAACCACCCAGAATTGTTACAAGCTTTACATGTGCGTATTCCCTGTGAATAAACATTCTTTGTTCTTGCCAGACAAACTCCCCAATTACAGGCTTTCTGGTCTCTTTTGAATTGTATGCCTAATCTTGCTTTGTTTTGGCATCCAGCCCATCAGTTTCAAATTCACAGTAGAGTGTTTTGACCTCAAAATGTTTCAAATCCTAATGTTTGCATACCTCTAAAGTCTGAAGCTTCTCCATGATGGCCAAATATATTACACGGTTGGACAGAGTTCACAGGAGTGTCAGCAGTCTAGAGCAGTGGCTTGGGGAGGAGCTGAGATGGTCGACAGGCAGCAAAGGCTGTAAGAGGTCCTCCAAAAGTAAAAGGTTTTTTATTTTATTTTTATTTATTTTAACTTTTTAATCCTTTTTAACCTTGCGTTTTAACCTACTTTTAACCATTTTTAACCTATTTTTAAACCTGTTTCAACCCATTTGACTTTTTTTATAAAAATCAAAGACTTTTTATAAAAATATATATACTAGAGAGGCTACCATTGTTTTATCTACATTTTAACAACTCTGCAAGCCAGGATTATCAAGAATGGGGAAAAGGAGAAAGAGACAGTATGCATACTCGGCAGCCCAGAGTTCTTCCAAGCTACTGAAGCAGCAGAATATGGAAGATTACACTGAAAGTAGACAGTCTGTTCCAGTAAGTATTTCATCTGCAGATAGATCTAATTTGTGTGATTCATTAGAATGGGATGTACAAACCAAACTTGAAAGCAAACAGCACATAGAACTTCCTGCCTCTCTCACAGAAAATATCTCCCCTCCTTGGAACTTAGCAGCCTGCTCAACAGCCACTTTCTTTGCTCAGGATGGTAATGTATCGGTAGCAAATTCAGAAAGGGAGAATGCAACAGACTTCCTTTCCAGACAATGTTTGCTTACAGCTCAAACTGTAAAGTCAATCTATGAATTTTTATCAACTGTTATAAATAAGGTTGACTGCATGGAAGAGTCTTTTGCAAAGTTTATTAAGAGTTACCCAAATATTGTAGAAGGATCCAGAAGGACATCTACTGATAGACATGGGGTGGCTAACTCAGAAATTGAAACTAGAGCAGGCCCTTCTCTCCCCCCCCAAAAAAAAAAATGGAAGAGGAAAGAATATCTACAAAGAAAACACTATCAAATAGTCCAAGAAGTGACCAACATAACTTCCGTTTGCAGACTAACCAGGTTACCTTGCAAATTTATGACAACAGAACGAATAGAGAGCATTGGAGTGATAGAAAAGCTGTTAGGCTGTCTCTGAGCCAGCTGCTCCACTGTGAATATACTCTAATAGACTTACTACACACGGAATGGTTGCCAGCCAGAAGGCAATGTATGCGAATTTTGCTATCTTTCAAGCAGCTCACAATTCTCTCTATGCTTTTTAAAATGAAGCCCTTCTTGAGTAATTTTTCAATCTTTCCAATACGTGTCTTCTGCTCAGAGAAAGGGTGCCCACTCCTGGATCAGCCTCTCCAAAAGGGAACTATTGCTTTAAATCCAAGCTGCAACAGACCTCATACTGATAAACTTGAAGCAGGCACAGCTGAATCGTCCTTGAGAAAGCAAAGGGGTGATCTACAAACAGCGTTAACCACAGCAACAGAATCTGCTGAGGATGTGCCAGAAGAAATGCCGATTGACTTATTCCTTGCATTGCCAGAACCTGAGCAAGCTAACATTATTCAGAGACTGGATGATCTAAAAGAGGCACTGACAACAACCCAATTCATAACAAAGCCTCTATTTAAATTGGCTTCACCAAATGCTCAAACTTGTGACAATATAGTTACCCAACAATCAGACGGCAACCAGAGGCAGAGACAGAGGTATGCCTCAGTGCCCCCACACAAACTGTGGGGTTACCCTTGCTGTTATGGACAATCTCCCCATAGTCTCACAAAACTTGCCAAATTCCTGGTTAAACGCATCTAATAACCAACAATATTTAATTTTCAGTGACAATTTGGGTGAGGAGATAGATGGGGAACTCATCAAATTTGCAGACGACATCAAACTGGCAGGAATAGCCAACACTCCAGAGTTAGAGTGCAGTACTGCAGGCCACTTTAGCTGACTGTGTTCAGCAGGTCAGCGGTTCAAATCTCACCGGCTCAAGGTTGACTCAGCCTTCCATCCTTCCGGGGTAGGTAAAATGAGGACCCAGATTGTTGGGGGCAATGTAAATATATATATACATTGCTTACTGGTATACACCGCTTAGAGAGTGCTTGCACTTAAAGCGGTATATAAGTCTCATAAATAAATAAATAAATAAATAAATAAATAAATAAATAAAGACAGGCTTATGATACAGAAGGATCTGGACAGACTTGAACACTGGGCACTATCTAACAAAATAAAATTCAAGGGTGAAAAAAGTAAGGTTCTACATTTAGGCAAGAAAAATCAAATGTACAGGTATAGTATAGGGGGTACCTTGCTCAATAGTAGTAACTGTGAGAGGAACCTCGGAGTCCTAGTGGACAATCACCTAAATATGAGCCAGCAGTGTGCTGCAGCTGCCAAAAAGGCCAACACAGTGCTAGGCTGCATTAACAAAGGGAGAGAATCAAGATCACGTGAAGTGTTAATACCACTTTACAATGCCTTGGTAAGGACACACTTGGAATATTGTATCCAGTTTTGGTCACCACGTTGTAAAAAAGATGTTGAGACTCTAGAAAGAGTACAGAGAAGAGCAACAAAGATGATTAGGGGACTGGAGGCTAAAGCATATAAAGAACGGCTGCTGGAATTGGATATGTCTAGTTTAATGAAGAGAAGGACGAGGAGGGACATGATAGCAGTGTTCCAATATCTCAGGGGCTGCCACAAAGAAGAGGGAGTCAAGCTATTTTCCAAAGCGCCTGAAGGCAGGACAAGAAGCAACAGGTGGAAACTAATCAAGGAGAGAAGCAACCTAGAACTAAGGAGAAACTTCCTGACAGTTAGAACAATTAACTAGTGGAACAACCTGCCTCCAGAGGTGGTGAATGCTCCAACACTGGACATTTTTAAGAAGAGACTGGACAGCCATTTGTCCGAAATGGTATAGGGTTTCCTGCCTGAGCAGGGGGTTGGACTAGATGATTTCCAAGGTCCCTTCCAACTTTACTACTACTACTACTACTACTACTACTACTACTACTACTACTACTACTATTATTATTATATTATTATTATGGATCATCGCACAGTCTGCCAGATGTTCAGACTGGATTTGGCATTTTGTCTACCTATCGAGTCCTTACCCAGGACCTGGGATAGGCAGATGTGGATGTTTGATGGTATTACAGATATCGTCGCAGGATGGAAGCAGTTCCTAGTAAGGCCGCCTTTTGCAATTGACTAATAGCGAATTTGTCAATGCCAATGGTGTTCAAGTGGTGCTCCAGTTGTTTTGGGATTGCACCCAAGGCACCTATTACTATTGGTACTACCCTTGCTTGCTTTTGCCACAGTCTTTCTATTTCTATTTGTAGGTCTTTGTATTTTGTTATATATTATTATTATTATTATTATTATTATTATTATTATTATTATTATCATCATCATCATCATCATCATAACTATCTTCCAACAAATGCCCCTACTGAGAACACGAACTGACTATATGAAGGCTAGACTATTCTGATATTATTTTGTTTCTTTGTTGTATTCTCCATTTCCTCTGATTTCACTGGTTTATTCCCATATATAAAACTATCTGATTGTACACTTGTTTCTTCTGATGTAGGCCATATCCATTATGATTTAAGATAGATACTTCTGGACTTTCGACACAAAGTTTAAAAACCTCAACCCTTGAATTTTATATAAAGCTTCCTGGATGAAGGAATTGGAATAGAAAATAATTTCCCCATAGACAATGTTTAGGTCATGTCAGGATTTTTAGTTGACTAGCTTATCATGCTTACTTTTATCTGGGACTTCTAGAAGATTATATACTAATGAAGTTTAACATTATCTCCTTTTCCACGTCATAATGACAGGACCAAATTAGACCTGAACTAGAACGCTTCTGATAGGTCATATTTTCTGAATCTACTTGAGATTCTCCTCATTGTCTCATAGATTTATCCTGCTTAGAAGCCCATGGACCTTTAAATCACTAAATATCCTTATCCCCAGTTGAAGCAAGAGAATTTCAAAAATTCTAGGGTTGAAAAAACAGAGTTTGCAGGGAATCGGAGGCAACATGCTTTATATATCAGCTGTTAGGAAGCAACATTGAAAAAGGTTGGCATTTTCCTGGCCATATATATAAGCTTCTAGAATGCATTTGTTTGGCCACTTTATGAACACCAAATACAAGATCAGTTTAACCAATCACAACCTGATTTAACAGGTCGCTTCTTATGGATTCTCTTTTCTTGCCATTAATTTGCATTTCTCTTCTTCTTTGTCAGTTATGACTGTATGTGCATAACCTTACAAAAAAGCAACCTTGGCATAATGCCATATGTGCATTAATAGATAAATTGCATGCCTTAGCCATAAAGGTATGTCATACCTAGCCTTGTTAACAGAAGGACTCCATGAATTAGGCTACTAAACTGTTAATTATACTTTTGGTAATAATATATTTATCTATTTATCTATCTAGAGCAGTGTTTCTCAACCTCAGCACTTTAAGATATGTGGACTTCAACTCCAGAATTCCCCAGCCAGTCTGGGTATGGGAATAGTATGATGACTGGAGAATTCTGGGAATTGAAGTCCACTTATTTAAGCTAAGAAACACTGCTCTAAAGTATGCCACTAAAGACTCATCCAGTGGAAGGCTATTCAGTTCTGGCAAGATTCTTTTTATTGCAAGATAAATCAGTTTCAAATTGATTTGAAGAAGCTGGGTAATGTTTCACACCCTGAATATTTATTTCAGGAGACTTCCAATAACGTAACTGTCTGAAAATAAGTGCTTCCATCCTCCAGGCATAGTGTCACCAACATATATCAAACTCTCCTTAGATTGAGCATAAATCCTGTTTATGTGGATCTTCATAAACATGGAAAGTGCCAAATCAGCAAGTTGGGAAGAAAATGACATATATGGTATAGCTTCTGCAGGATAAATTGTTTCTTGATCTCTTTGTCATGAGTGGGCAGACTTAGGCTCCCAGAATCTTCCATTTCCCCCTTTTGTCAAGAATAGGCAGGAAGAACTAGACAAAGAATGGTAGTGAAAAAAGACACAAAATGGCAATTTGTGTAAAGCCAATGCAAAACATCAACTTTATTCCATGATATGTTATGAACTAGGCTGAAATGACTTCTTCTATAAAGGATTTACTTCTACATTATGGCAGATTAGAGATTTGAACATAGACCCTGAACATAAATATAGAAAAACCTTCTGGCTTACATATTTGAAACATTAGATTAGTATCATTTTATTTAAGATCCGTGTAAATTATCTAGTGTCTGCCTATAGTTAGTGCTCTCAGAACAAATGTATTGTTGCTAGTAGTTTCTGGTTTCTTTTTCTGCGACCCTTTCATTTCTTTTCAAGATTCTCACCTTGTTTTATTAGTGTCTCACATGTCACTAATTTCACACTCATTAATCAGAGAGCCAAAAAGCCAATAAATCTCTGCACCGATTTGGCATTGGCAGGCGATGGCATGTCCACAATGGCTCTAATCTTATCTAGGTCAGCTTGTGAGGACAGGACATATCCATGGAAATTGACTTCTTGCATCTTGAATTGCAATTTCTTTGCGCTGAGCCTCAGCATCACCCACCTACAAAGGTCTAGTAGTGCTATTAGCTTCTCATCATGGTTATGCTCAGCTTCTTCATCTGTATCACCACAGCTAACTATGAGCTATTGGCTCAATTCCACTGAGCCCACTCAAAAGTTCATGTTGCTTTCATTGATACACCTCTGTGCTACAGAGACTCCAAAGGGTAGTTTGAGCCATCTCTTCCTGCCCCAAGGGGTCCAGAATGTGGTCATGTAGCTACTCTTTTCATCCAGTTTGCACTGTAAAAAGGCATCTCTAGTGTCAACAAAACTCATGCTTTGGATAGTTTGTGCAAAACATCATAAAGTGTTGACATTAGGTAGTGTGACTGTTTGAGGGCCATATTCAGAAACTTGGGATCAGTGCAGATTCTGCTCTGCTCAGGCTTCCTAATAACAACCATGTTGCTTATCCAAGCGGTAGGCTCAGATACTGAAGTAATATGTCCTTCAGCTTCATTCTTGTCCAGTTGCACTTTGACCAGTGGCTTAATGGCTATTGGCATATTGTGTGGGGCACATTGTGCTGGTGAAATGGCAAGTTCAAGTTCAAAGTGAACCTCTCCTGGAACAGATACTATGGGGCCATCAAACACCTCATTGTAGACTTGGAGGATTTGCTGTTTTGTCAGTGGCCTCACCAAGGATTTTGAGGGGTGAATCTCAATAATGTGTATCTCAGCCAGAATGGTGAATTGCAACAAGTCCA